CCTTTGCAAAGTTGAAACCGCTTAAAGCCCAATTTTCTAAAAAAGCAACTTGATTTATATTTCTTTGAATAGTTTCATTTAAAGTAAAATAATGTTTGTGCTTCAAAATTCGTCTTCGAAACTAAGATATTTGCATCTGAACATTGACCTACAAATGATCATGTGACAATCCGTTTACAAATAGCACAAAACGGTTTTCAGTAAATTTAAAGCTGTGATTAGTTCTCGTTAATAGTATATAAATATTTCGTTTTTTTTCCTAACAGTTGATTATGAGAGGGGTAAGGCACAAGTGAATGTAATTGATAGTGCAAATAAAAATAAACATTTGTTTGCGCACCTAATAATAGTTAAATCTTATAAAAAAATCTATGTTAATAAACATTTGTTTTTAAAATAGATGCTTTTGTAAGTTTAATTATGATTCGAATCAAATGAATAATTTATAAATGTCTTGGACGGAAATTATGTTGTTGTTGTTGTTTGTTATAAATATCGTACATTGTTTCTAAAAATGTCACTTTAAATCGTTTGAAATTAGTCTTTTCTTTTAATCGTTTATGCAGCATATTAGTAATTTAAAGGAAACAATGCTTTATTTTATGAAGTATTTTCAAAGGTATAATGATATTGTTCCATAATCGTTTGGTCCATTCTCGAAATAACTGTTACATAGAATCTCTCTGTTATTTTACAAACATGAATATTTTATCTGTTTAGCAATGATTTTCTTTTTGGTTATGTGTCATGTTTTGCTTATAGTGTACTTCCATATTTAATACGTTCATTTTGAATCTTTTATTTAATTCAAACAATGGTTTGGGTAGCAGATAATAAGCTTTATACACTTCAAATTTTGCAGCGATAATTTAACACATTGATATTGTATGATTATTGTATATATTTATGTTGTAGAATTTGAAATAAATATAAGCTTTAAAAATAAATGTTAAATGTTGTTTTTTATTTTCAACAAATTACAAAGTTTTGACATAATATTGTGTGCTACAAAATCAATGATAATTCATACTTATTGTTTTTCTAACAAAATATGAATTTCACAATAAACAATTATATACCACAATACAAATATTTTACTATTTAACACTATCATTAGCACCTATTGTTTTCAAATGAGTTCGTAGATGTCGATATTGTCATCATGTCGACCAACTACTAGCTCATTCATCTTATGCTGCTGATACAATATAGAACTACATCCTACTTTTGTATCATCTGATGACAAGACATTTCCCAGCTTCTCGCCATCCTTAGTGAACTGTAAAATACAATTATTGTCAAATCCACTGGCAAGAATATTCCCATTTTCGGCTTGCATGATTGAGTTCATCACAGTTATACTTTCCCTGTAGAGTACCATCCTCTGTAAGAGCAACAATTCCAAATGTATAATCAGCAACATAGATTCTGCTACCATCTGTACTCACAGTCATGCTGTAAATATTATTAAACAATCGCTGGCCTGTCTGATCATTCGTGAAATGTTTAAGCTTTGTACCATTCATGTCGTAAACGAAAACAGTTGTACGAGAATCAGCAAGGTATAAATTGGACAACGCATACGCAATACTATAACTTCCATGGTCAATGTTTAATTCTTTAGTTCGTCTAAGTTCTTTGGGAAAAGAAACAAAATATACAGTTTGTCCATTGGTTCTTATGGCAGCTACATCATGTGTATTAATAGTACAAATCTGACATGGTGATCTGGTAGTTCACAGACATCTTTGTAAGTGAATTTGCTGTCAATACGTTTCAATTTCTTATTGTCTTGATCAGCAAGAATTATAGACCCATCACCAAGTTCACATGCACTTACTATTGTACATGTTTGTGTGTCAGATTGATGTCTAACATTAAATGTTCTCTTTTTCTTTAGTTTGTAGATTTTATTGGATTGACATAAATTACCAAGATTTTCCGTTTCATTCAGGCAGATCAATATATTTTCGCTTCTCTTGAACTCGAAATCTATTACATGCTTACCTGTTGCCGTTTCTTCTCGACATTTTATGGCAGCACCAATAGCTCTTTTACCGATTTTAGAAGAGACAAAGGCTTGGGATATATTATTATCATCACCACATGACACCATTTTATCCTCAGCATGTTCAACACCTTTCTGTGCAGTTTCTAAGACCGTTATTTCTGCATTTTTTTTCTCAGCAATGGCATTACATTTGCTCTCAATTTGTTCGATACTTGTTTGCTCATGCTTATCCAGTTTCATCTCAATTTCCCTTCTGAAATCTTTTAATTTTAGCAATGCTTCTTGTTTGTCTTTCATCAATCGCTCCCTCTCGTGTATACGAGTTTCTAGCATTTTCTTCAAATTGGCGTTTTCTACGTTTAGATCTTCGAGTGTTTTCTTTGTCTGTGCTTGTGATTGGTTTATTTGAACAACGCCGTCTGTTGCCGAGTTTTAAAATGTTGGCGTTTTTTTCAATTACATTCAAATGTGTATAAATTTGTTGTATACCGTAACATCCATCATATTACATTTTACTCTATTTTTATCATGAAATGTTACTGTAATTAAATTTTAACTAAACTTTAAACAAAGTCAAATTTCACAAAGCCAGAAACAATAACAAACAAGGAAGAAAACAACATCAATAGCATAGAAATGTCATTTGAGCTTAAAAGTGTCATTCTTATTTGTATTTGAAGTGAATTGATTTAATTATTTATACGATTGCCGTATTATACATAAAATCTAGTACATATTTATTTCATAAATCCTTGACGTGCAAGTTTGCAAAACTGAACGCCTATGGTAATAACAACAAAATAGTTTCATCCTTGGAAAAATGCATTAAATAGAAAATTGGTACAAAGATTTGTTCGTATTTTTTTTTCAATTATTTTAATTTCTTTTCACAAAACATGTAAATTATTGATTCGGAAAACAAAAGCATATCCTGTTACGTTTCAAGTTTTTGTTACGATCTTTAGGTGCAAATGGAATTGACAGTGTTAATAACTTTACATGGCTATTTTACTACATCTTTTTATATACAGGTATAAATCTTGATGAAGTTAAATAAAGCGTCGCTTACTTGGTACAGTTTTACGCCTGAGCAAACAAAAATTAAGCACTGTTTATTCATTCAGTCTTAATAAGGATATTCAAATACTATAAATTATATCTTATTTCAAGTTAAAGTAACTCTAGTTTGTAAAATAAAGTATTTATACCTGTGATATACTGCCATACATGTTGAACAACCAACATCAACATGATTTCGACAATACAAATCAACAGGTTTAAACCTATGTCTCTCGCATTTTTCCGTCGGTGCTACAGGTAAACCTACCCTTGTTTCTTGTTTAACTTGACTTTTATCTAGGATATTATGTCCGGAAAGAGCTGGAATATCCTCGTGGAATTTCACACACTCTGAGCAGTAATATTCATGACAGTCCGTGCAGTATTTGTCCGCTTCTTTATTCCTCCCCTTGCGTTTACAGGGTGAACATAACAACTGAAAAGTTTCATCCGACAGATTCTCCAAACCATTCCCTAAAATGGCGGCCATTTATACAGATTTACATTCCAATAAAATAGTCCATTTTCGGTTTCATTATCTTTTTCAGCAAAGATAGTTGAAATATCATTACACGATAGGTATTGTGCTCCACATAAACCAATCCAGATATGAAAATATGTACATGTAGTAAAGGGAGGTTATCTAACACGTTTAAATATGCTTAAATCGAATGGCTATTTGTATGACAATTCAGATATCGATGCGTTTTATTACAATTAACATCTTGTGTAACAAGACAGTTATGCAAAATGAACTTTCTGTGATTGCATGCGGTAAGAATTTTCTAAAAATCTCTTTTAATCGATAGAGATTTAATCAGTGTCGATTGATTGAGTTGAAGTAAGGCACCGTCTACACCTATCTAAAGCTTGTTTTCGCTTCTATTGGATAGTGTAAACACCCTACTTGAATGGTTTTAAAGAGAAATTATGTGACATCAATGAAGATAATTTCTTGTGAGACAATTAGAACACGTTCTATTTTGGCTACCAAGACACTGATTACACCGGTTTGACACAAATTATGTGCCCGTAAGTTGTGATAGTGCTGTTTTTTCAGACTTGTTTGTTGCCGATTCAGTGTTCATGGCCTGTAAACTTCAATGTATTGGTCAAAGGAAAAAAATCGATACACTGATACACAGAAGAGCAAAAACAAAAGATAAGTTTTGCAATCAATAAGGATTATAATCATATAGGGATTTTAAATGATCGTTGTTCACTTGTTCATTTAGTGATAAATGAAGAATTTGCATCAACTTATAAGCTCAAAATATTTTTTCTCACATTTTCCATTTATTTTTATAAGAATATACACATTTTATTTCCACCATTGGTTTTAGTTAATTACATCATTTTCCAGATTTTTTATTAACACATTTAACAGAGACATGATAGTATTGCAAAGACAAAGGTATAAACGAAGGGCAATCCTAATAAGGCATTTTAGTAAAAATTGTGTCCGATTACATGTTGAATGGGCCATATATTTAGCCTATCTTAATGTGACTTGTAAGAAACTTGACTAGGTGTAGACGCGGCCTAAGAGACTATTTAAACAAATAAATAGAATGTGTATGCGGTTAAATTAGAGAATAAACGTTTGTATACATATTAAAAATTCATCAACGATGGTTTAATTTATCGCCGATTATGATACATTTTTATCAACACTAAATGATTTTGTGTTTTTGATATTATTAGTCTCTATTCTTACTATTGAAGGAGTGAATACCCTCTCTCTAATGAAGTTTTCATTAATGAATACACTTGCTTCCGAAATTAGCATTTTATTTCTATATTTCACATACATATACATATGAAAATTGATGTACTATTTATTGAAATCCAAATTTAAGTGCTATGTATTTTCCTTTAAAAGTGAAGTAGTTAAACAAAATAATTAATTATCTTTTTATGATTTGACAACCTTATAAGGCGTCAAACCGTACATTAACCGATGGTGATGTCGTAATAAAAATCAGTTGATCAATTGATAAACATTTATACGAACATCTATCTACAAATTATCAATCATTTTTTTAATTCAGTCAAGAAAAATGTTAAAATGTATATATTAGTTCATTGATGATTATTTCAGTACACTTCATAATTGTCTGCAGGTGTTATTTTTCGTAATCTGGTAGGGCGCCCCACATTTCTTTTACAGCAATGACGTCGTCATGTTTTCCGCTTGTGTAATTCACACACTCCGTGTTCCACATCCCTACACCTCGCAAGTGTTCATCTATTGCAAACGTATATTTATATCCTAAACTTTGTGGATCGTCATAACGTATCTGATGCATAATGCCTGACGAAATATTCTAAAATGCAAGTAAATTAAATACACTAAATAAGTTGCAAGCAAAATCATTGATTACCACATAATGTAACGTATTGAAAATAATGCACCAATTGAAGGCATTTTATGCGTCAGAAATGAATAAATATGTACTAAAATGAGCTAAATGTGAGCTTTAAAACTTAGCATGTTAGATGCACATCACCTGGATAGAGTAGTGATGAATGTGAAATTATTCTTCTTCATAAAAGAAGCAAAATGTAAATATTATGTGATTTTGATCAACAGTTTCCCGAATCAATACTTTATCTATATAAGGTACATCGCATTTGCAAAATAAAGGAGTCGTTGTCATTTGTCAAATAAAAGAAGAAGTTATATCAGATACAAATGATGTCATTGCATTTTCGTTATCTTAACAGTTGCAAAAAAATGTTATAACATTATGGAAGTGTACCTTGTAATTAAAGTAAGGTGTCATTGTAGATTTTTCAAATATACGTCCACTTGTAGAGTTTTTTAGTAGCTGTATTATAGTGTAGTAATTCAATTCACGTCCCGCTGCATCACTGCAATTAACACCACGAAATGGAACCTTCTTTAAGTAGCATTTGTCAGCCTGAAATATTATTTCTCATGCTTATAACATGTAGTTCAAGGAATTTGTATCGATGAAAGAAAGTTTCTATGTTAACTTTGCTTTTGGCGGAGCTTGGAGACTTGATAGATATTGCACTTATGTACAGATTCATTAAAAACGAGACTGCAATTTAAAACTATGCTTTCATTTATTTCCAGGGACCTCGCCCTTTCAAAATGTCGCTTACTTTTTGAACTAAGATGAAACAATAATCAAATAATTTATCAGTGTCGTCATCAAACAATGTTGAGGTCAACATAAACAAACACATTTGCTAAGACATAGGATCTTCTGCAGACAGGTATCTTCTGTAGACATTGACGTGTATTATATGCTTCTATTTAAAGTTTGCATCTTGTTTGTGATTGAATTAGCGAAGAAAGAAATGAAACCAAAAAATGATATGTCAAATGATAAAATCATACCTTGGTTAATGTCAAGCATGGGTAATAGTAGCCGTACCAAGGCACTCCGAGAATAAGCTTGTCAGACGGTATTCCAATTTCTAAGTATTCATTAACGCCTGTTATCAGAAATATAATAAACATGTATTATACCTCATCAGAATAATAACATAATGTTTACTATAACACTGACAAGTAACAACTAACTGAGCGTACAATTTCATCCATTTGGCAATTCTTATAAACTGTCTACTGTACATTTTCTATGCATATAGATTAAGTGTACTGTCCTAACCTTTGCTATTACGTGCGAAAGATTTATTTTATAGGGAGATCATTTTTCAAAGGTTTTCATCAATAACTGGATAACCATTTGTGAGAAAATGTAAACAGTTTAGCATGAATGATCATCAACATTTGAGTAGTAGTTGTTTCATTTTTTTAGTTATAAATACAATAAGTATAAGGTCGTCGTAAGATTTTCACAAAAAAATCATACCTTCCATTGTTCTATATAATCCGCTATTGGCATAAGCAATACATTCACCTAGTATTTGGCTTTGTTCGTCGTATGCCATAACAAAGAAATAGTCAGAAGCTTCTGATAGTCCCACAAAGTCGTAGTAACGTGAATCTATTCCAGCAGGAGACCACGCCACATCAACACTAATCTTAAAGTTAAAAAAGAGACAAATAGACAAGTTAAACAAGGATCGCAATATCAGTAAAAGAAGAAGCATTGCATGATTCCAACATCACTATCATAAAATATTATTATTTTAGTAAAAGCATTTCAATTTCTGACCCAAGAAACTACAGAGGAATTTCTTGTCTAGTTATCTCTGGCTGATCAGTATTCACTTTAAATTTATAATTATGTATAATTATAATAAATAATTATATGGTAATATGTTGGTGTTTTTTTGACACCAGCTATCTCTTAGTGAGCACCCAACGCAACAGTATGTTGAGTATTTAGACTAGAAATCACTTTAAGCACATATTCGCAATACCAAAGGATATTTAGCTATTTTCCCTAAAAAGAATGGTTCATGTTCTTTTTATTGAAATTATGTTAGCCTCATACGACAGTGATGTAAATGCAAATGTAGCTAGTTATGGTAATTTGTGTAAAAGGTTATTTATGTTTATGGATATACTAAATAACGACATGGCATGAGGTTGCATCAGGAGACTATTACTATATATTTGTTATATGTCTGCGTAATTAAATATTGGTGACAGCTATTGTTTATGCATCAGTCTAAATATCTACGGTAATGTTACCAAATGTTACAAACTCAAGGTGATAGTGGGAGATGTCATTGGGCTATTAAAATAACAAAGTTATTTTGAAAAATAACAGTTATTTTGAAAAAATTCTGGTATTTTCGATGTCACAATAAAGCCGACCAATTAATCTTTCTGTTTAAACATGTAACAGACTTGTTTATTCATGAACATTAAAATGCGTTCATTATATATTTTTTTGAATCACGTCTTACTGTAGAAAAACCCTTTTATATAATTAATCATTGACCATAAAAGATCTTTATTGAAGTTTTGAACCGGCAGATATGTTAAAATGTCTAGCTTATACTACGTTTTCGTACTAAAAGATTTTTAACTCTTAGACTACCGAATATTAAGTTTGTTACAACTATACATAATGTCTTTAATTTTATACGAAACGAAATGTGCATTTCCAATTGAAGTTTAACTTAATTGAATGATGTACAATTATTCTGTTCTGATTTTGCGTTTGAATATTATTAGCCGCAATGCTGTTATGGTAAAACTATAATAGAAGCTGTAAAATATCTATTTACTTCACAATAGTTAAAATTTGCAGCATGTCTAGCTTGATGGGAGAACTTCTTACAACTTTGATATAGATCGAAGAATTATTGTGCATTCGAGCATTGTGCATTGCGCATATTGAGGGGCAAATTGTTTTTAGTCAAATGCCTAAACCACCCAGTCACAGATGCTCCTTGTGTTCAAGAAAAAGAAATAAATTTTAGTGATCATATAAAATGGTATTTACATTTTAAACAGGATAATGTTTAGTTTTTAACTTGCTAAGGAAAAGATACTTTACCATAGAAGATGGGAACTTTTCTCTAAAAGCTTGTCTTGTTTCCCTCACAAGATCTGTGTATCCATTGCGAAGTTGAGTCTGATTATATAATATTGCACGCTCGTAATCAAAGTTGATTCCGTCAAGGTAATTCTTATCTACAAAATCTAACTGTTTTTGTACCCACTGTGATCGAGCAGTTTGGTTAGGAAGCACAGATGTCTCAACTTTTCCTGTATTGTTTAATCATGATTAACATTTGGTCATTTTTTTTTTCAAGAACGAAATAAAAAAAAATCTTCAATACAATTATTGTGTGTTGAAATATTTCCTTTTGGGCTAATGACGAATACACAAAATCTTTACTTAACGGAAAAATCCTACTTGAAATAGCAGAATATTTCGATAATTCACTATTAGATTATTGAAAAAAAACTTGACACTTAAAATCGCTAATATATTTATAAATATATTTCACAAGCCTCGTCAGCAAAAATAGATAGCATTTAAAAGTCAATTTTTGTTTATAAAAATATACAAACATATTCGTTTATTGTCTCCGTAAGTGTAGTCAAAAATGCCAGTAAATAAAAATACAAACTGGATACAGTAAATGTTGCTTAAAGGTTACGCTATGCATATAATGTTTCAAAATGGCAAAACTTACCAATAATGATAGCCCTTGCGCCGTACTTATGTGCCCAACAAACAAGTTGTATGTCAAAATAACCGACCATCACCACTGTCGTGACTTTGTCCCAATTGTAAAACTTCCAATTATCTTGTTTAGCATTGAGGGAAAATACAAATATCTTAAAATAGAAAATGAAAAATTGAATACAGTCAATATAAAATTGACGCGAAAACTTTTTCAGGAATAAAACTCTTTTTTATGTTGTCTTAGTAAGGTCTCAGAGATGTCATCAAATATATACAATTGTGTTACTTGATGTTCTGTTCGTGAAATTCTGCTTTAAGTAAAATATTACTTGTCGGACTTGTTATCATTTGTTTTAAAGATATTTCGAAATTAATTAATAAAAGGTAGTTTCTAGAGTACAGTAAATTAGATTCTTACTCGCTTCGCACTATTGCCCTCTAATACAAAATGGGAAGTCAAGTGCATGATAATAACAAGATATATACACAAAATAAAAACGAGCGCTTAATTCTGTCTGCAAACTGTACTCAAAACTGAGACATATTTCCTAAAGTACTGTCCCTATGAGCACAGATGATGCGCGATGCAATCAAGGAAGAAACACAATGACGTCTCGAAACTGCTAGGTCGGCCTTATAGCGACCCGAATGCGTGTTTATCAGCATGCAAAACGATCGTACATATAGATACGTTCAAATATGCGAACGTCCCATGCGATTGAACTGCGTACACTGAAATTTTACTGGATGGTACTCTTGGGTTAAAGTGGTTCTTATTTTAATAACGAGTTTTCTAAATATCTCATGTAACGAAAAGTATATCAAGAAGAAAAAATAAAAAAATAAAAAAAAACAAAAACAAAAAATCCACATACTTCCTTCCTAGTTGTATCCTTTATCCTCTCACAAAACTTGGCTTCACTGCAGGGACATTGTCCAGCAGAATTGACCACATTTTTGTGTCCTGACAATAACGATATCGAGCCAATAGCTAGAGTTGTTGCTAGCACGACAGCTAATATAATTGGTAAAGTATCCATTTCAATGCAGTAATGAAAATGTTTATAATCAAACGAGTACAGTTGTTTATGTAAGTAGATAACGTACGGTATAAAGTAGATTAATAGAGTATAAAGTTTATGAGTTTAAACCGACATAGGTCGATCTGCTGTTAATTTTAGCCTATTCAATATCTTTATTCTATTTTCTGAACAACATAATTTCCGCTTTCATATGATTAAAAAGTTTACATTTTATAAAAAGTCAATTTCATTTAATTTTGCGGGTGTTATATTCATGTCATTTGTCCTAGTTATCATAAGGTCATTCGAACTACGTAGGAAACATTGAACGTAAAGGGGCACAGATAGATAGGTTAGATGTATAAAGGACTTTATAGTTATCAAGTTCAGATAACTTCAATATCAGTATAGTCAAAACTGACTGAACAAGGAAGTTATCTTAAATCTTAATTCATTCACCTCAAACAAAGTTGCAGTGTCGTATGAACATGTATACTGAAACTTTGTTTGAGACAGGTTTGAGGCTTGGCCTACATCAAAGTCATTTATGTGATTAACAATATAGTCTAAGGTTTAATGTCCCTGTAACTTTATAGCTTTACGTCAGAAAAAAAAATGTTTTGACAATGTCCCTTCTTTTCATATTTGAAACTTCTAATTTATATACTTTCCTGTAACAATACGATTATAAACTTTTATTAAAACTGTTTCATTTTAAATTTTACTGATTGAAAAATATGACAACTACGATGGCACAGAGGTGACATTTGTGTGTTTTAATTACTGAGATAATGTGTGAGATACTATGTCGTGGCCACGAGTTACTAAGTCGTGGCTACGAGATTATAAAATCGTGCGCACGAGATACTGTGTCGTGGTCAAGAGTAACTAAGTCGGGGCTACAAGATTATTAAGTGGTGCGCACGAGATACTAAGTCGCGGCTACGAGATTATAAAGTCGTGCGCACGAGATACTATGCCGTGGTCACAAGTTTCTTTATCGTGCGCACGAGATACTATGTCGTGGCCAAGAGTTACAAAGTGATGTGCACGAGATAACTAAGTGGTGCGCATTAGATACTATGTCGTGATCACGAGTTACTAAGTGATGTGCACGAGATAATTAAGTGGTGCGCATGAGATACTATATCGTGGCCACGAGTTACTAAGTGGTGCGCATGAGATTCTATGTCGTGGCCACGTGTTACTAAGTGGTGAGCACGAGATACTATGTCGTGATCACGAGTTACTAAGTGATGTGCACGAGATAATTAAGTGGTGCGCATGAGATACTATGTCGTGGCTACGAGTTACTAAGTGGTACACACGAGATACTATGTCGTGCTTACGAGTTTCTATGACGTGCGTACGAGATACTATGTGTTGGCCAAGAGTTACAAAGTGATGTACACGAGATGATTAAGTGGTGCGCACGAGATTCTATGTCGTGGTCACGAGTTACTAAGTGATGTGCACGAGATAATTAAGTGGTGCGCATGAGATACTATATCGTGACCACGAGTTACTTAGTGGTGCACACGAGATACTATGTCGTGGTCACGAGTTTTTAAGTGATGTGCACGAGATAATTAAGTGGTGCGCATGATATACTATGTCGTGGCCACGAGTTACTAAGTGGAGCGCACGAGATACTATGTCGTGGCCACGTGTTACTAAGTGGTACACACGAAAAACTATGTCGTGGCCACAAGTTACTAAGTCTCGGGAACGAGACAATTATATGCACCCATAGCATACGACTTTAAATTTTATTCTGAGATCCTATCTGTTATCCTATGAATACATTTAAGCATGCTGATTAAATTATGTTTTTGTTTATCGGTGATATACTGGTAACGATCCCTATAATAATTACAGCTTAAGGATCGAATTTGGAAGTAACTCTACAGTCAATTCTTTTTAAAATGTGTTCGAGTTATTTCCCTTGGTTTCAGAGTATCGCTGTAAATAAAAACGGAAACTGCATGTGTTTTTTCGTTTGTGTAATTTATTTTGAATAGATGAATATGAATTAAATGTATACCAGACATGTTTTTATTTATCATACATTATGTTGATCTCTTATGTAGCTTTACTGGATCTTTAATCTTGTGTTTAATACTTTAAATGCAAATATTTATTAGAATCAATACAGTCTTATCATGTAAATTGGCGCTTAATGGTGAATTTATGGCATGAAAATAAAACATTATTATTCCTTCTACGATATTTTTATGGTATTAAATAACATGTTTACGTCAAATATATATAAACAGCAAAAAGAAAGATAAAGAACATAATTATACCGTTTTTGTTTGTACTGATAATAAGAAATTATTTAAACATACACTTTAAAGCGGATAATATATATATTTAAGTCATAAATCTTATACCCGAGTTTTAAAAATAAATAACAGTTGAAGTGATAAATAAAGCAAATATTCACAATGTATTCAAACGCATTGATACGTATGACGCGCGTGTTATGATAACGCTTTGTTTGAAGAAGTACAAAACTCTTAATAATAGGCGTTTATATTTTTGCCAAATCTACCGTATAATTAGATATAGTAGTTTAACCGTGATTTGGAATAAAGGGATTGTTTAAGTATAACAATATTTGGAAAGTATTCATTGAAACAACGTGAAAAGAAGTTTTCTTTAACCGATACTATGGAAATTAACAATATTTCGAGTAGGTTTTTTCTTTAGGACTGGGCCAAAATTTTCGGGCGGGAGTCCTTTTTAAACCTTTTCGTTTAAACAAAGGGTATTTTTTAAAATTTTAAAACACCATCAAAGAAGGGGCAGTTCTGTAAATCCCAAACACATTTATGGGGCCCGTCAAAAATGGGGTTTGGGTCACTTCCCCCGGCATAAGTAAAATGGAAAATTATTTTTTAAAAAATTGATTAAAAGGGAACAAGGATTTAGCATTTAAAATTTATTTAATTGTTTCATTTTATACAACCCAAAAAGGGAAAAACTGATTTAGGGCGAGTTTTTCATTTATTTAAAGGAAAAAAAAGGGAGAGGGGGGGCTGAAAAAGGAAAGGGGGTGGGAAATTTAAAAAATTAAAAAAAAAAAATGAAATTTTAAGATATCTAAATTTATAATTTTTTTTTTTAAAAATTTAAAAGTAAAGCCTTTTTTTTTATAAATTTAAAATTTCTCTTTTTGAGGGGGGATTATTAAAAAGATAAAAGCAAAAAACAAAAATTGTTTAAAACAAGTGTATATTAAAAAATAATAGGCAGGTTTTTTTTTTGGGGGATTCCTCCAAAAAATATTGATGGGGGATCAAATTTCCCCAACTTCAAAAGAAAGAAGGGGATCCTTAAAAATTAAGAGATTTTGACACAAACATTTTTTTTTTTGCATAAATTTTTAGGGAAAAATTTCCGGGGTTTTTAACTTTGGATAGATTAAATATTATTCCCAATTTATCTAAACAAGAACTAAAGGGATGAACTTTTTAATTTTCAAAATTAAGAAATAGAACCTGATATATTGCCCCAAAAAGCTTTAATTTTTAGCCCTAAATTTTTGGGTTTTTCCCCCTTTGTAAATTTTTATAAAGACTTTTAAAGGTTTTTGGGAAAATTAAAAAAATGAAATCTTCTTAAACAAACAAATATACTCGATTATTAAACTTTAACTCCCATTGTGCATAATATTGGAAGTAAAATTGTCTTTTTTATTTTTTTGGCATGATTGATTTTTATATTCAATGCAAGTCAATATGATGTATAAAAGTAAAAGTACTTTATAAACTTAATGGATTGTAATCCGTACTGTTTGCTTTTTTTTTATTATTATAAAAGTCATGAAATTACTACAGATTTTATTGTTTGATCAAATTGTAATTTGATATCGTCAAATTACTACAAGAGCAAAACGGTTCGCGAAATTGGCAAAGGAGAATAATGGATGTCCAAAATGACGTTTTGTAATTTTTCTTTTATTGAAAGATAAACTTTCACATTTTACTTTATGTCAGAGAAAGATATTAAGACAGAACTTTGGTGGATTTTTGGGATAAATAGTTTTGACTTCAAATGCAAAGCCCTTTGAACATAAAAGATACTTTTTCTATATACTTATTAAATTTTTTTTTATCATGATGCGTTTATTAAAAAAAAAATGTAAAACAAAATGCACGACATATTTTTTTAGGGATGAAAATTATTTTTTAAAACCAAAAATTTAACGTGCTTTTGATTGCAAGTATTTTGATTGACCTATCGTAGGGTTTATTTTTGTTTTGCAACAAAAACTCATTAATTATAAAAATAAAAGGGCCCTGACGATGAAAAATACGCTATGAAACCGGGAAATGTGACATTTATCCGGGGAAAAACCCCAAAATAGGGGCCCCGTTGAAAATCACAATTGCCAATTTTTTTGAAAAATAAAAATTAAAACCCCCCCCTATAGATTTGGGGTATCCAAATTTATTTAAACAATAAAAGGTGATACTTTACTTATTCCCAATTTTTTATATTAAAAATTTCAGAATATTTTAGATAATATTCCCCTTTTCTTTTTACTTTTTAGAACCTGCGAAAAAAAGGAAGGAAGAATTGGGCAAAGGGGAAAAAGTACTCTGAAAAACAAAGATGATCGCTGAAATTTAAAATAACCCAAAATAAAAAAAATGAAAAATGTTAAAAAATAAAAAAAACGAAAAAAACAAAATTGGGGAATAAAAAAAAGCAAAAAGGCAATTTTAAAAAAATAAGGGTTTTAAAAAACAGATGTTTATGAAAAAAATAAGGGTATTTTTGGGAAAAAAAAAATTTTTTAGAATATTTTAAAAAAACATTGGTTTTTGGGGATTGGGAAAAAAGACCCACAACCCGGGGCCTTTTCGGAAACAAAGGGGTCTTTTCCCGGGGGGATTGATTTGCTTTTGGGGGGTCAGTTTTTACAGGGACCCCGAAAACCCAGTATGATAAAAATTTTTTTTGAAATCAAGGAATTTTCAACTTTTTTGGGTCACAGAAAAAGCGCGGAGGTCAATTGGGACCCAAATTTTTAAAAAACAAATCCCAAAATAGAATTTCTCCGAACGATAAGGCTGCTTTAATCTTTTGGGCGGAAAAATTAAAAACTCTTGGGGGCCTTTTCCCTTAAATTT